CCCCCGGGGCCTGCCTTCTACCCCACGCTGCAGCCTGACACCCCCAACACTCAGCTAGGGGAGGCCCCGGCTCCGCTGGCCCCCGCTGCCCCAGCCACTCCTGTGCCACCCGCCTACGAGTGCGGCCATTGTCGAAAGACCTTCAGCTCTCGGAAGAACTACACCAAGCACATGTTCATCCACTCGGGTGAGCGGGCCCGTGGGAAGGGCAGACCCTGGTCTTGGAAATCCAAGGCCCGGTTTTGGTTTTGGTTTTGTGGTTTTCTGGTAGCCTCAGGGGTCTTGGAAATTGAGTGCCTCAAAAGACCCAGGAGGACCAGCAGGTGCTGTGTGGGGAAGGGGTCAGGTTGTCTACCCAGGGGCTTTGGAACTCTAGGGAGGTGGAGGCTGGACCATCTCAGGACAACGGCAGGATGCAGGTGAGGAACATGTGTCCTCTGGCCTAGGGAGCCTGAGATGGGGGAAGAAGGGTCCCAAAGTCACAGGAAGCTTCCCTCTAACTTTGGTCAGATGGGGGAGATGCTTCCACATCGCTGGGGAGAAGCAGAACGGATGGTGCTGAGAGGTGTGATCGCAGGTGGGTCTGGCAGCTCTGAGCCTGCAAAGTTTCCCGTTGCCAGGACAACCTGAAACTCACCTAAAAGGCCCCAGTGAGAGTGCAGAGAGTGTTCTTCAGGGGCAAGAGTGAGGGATAGGGAAGCTGGTTGTGTTTTGAGCAGAGAGTGATGAGGTGTTCCGGTGACTGAGATCCATGCCAGAGAACATGGGAGCTCAGTGACTGGCCTGCAGAAGACCGCCCGGGACCCTGAGGTGGCCCCAGCTTTGCCAGACAGGAGTAGCAGAGCCAGGGAAGAGCCAGGACTCCCCCCACCTCCCACACCCCAACAATCACTGCCCTGTAGTACCTGGTCCCTGATGGGTTTTTTGTTAACACCTGATGACCCTAGGGCAGTGGTGGTGAACCTGTGGCACTTGTGCCACAGCAGGCCGTTTGTATCATTGAAAGCTCTAAAAGGGTCACGATCACTGCTCTACAGACAGACACAGCCTGCCACACTTCCCGTCCAGGTGAGGTGGACAGCTTGCTCTTTCATTCTAGAGACATGGTAGCCATAGACAGGAGTTTTGGGAAACTGAGGCTTCAGCAGGAAGGGATAGAGGTGTTCTGGTTTCTTGTGGTGCAAGGGTACCTGTGCACCTGGTGGACTCTGAAGACTCTGTGGATGTCTGCGGTCGACGCAGGGCCCTAGTGCCTCCCTGGACCAAGCCACGTGTGGTGGGCAGTGATGACCCAGGCCCAGGATTCCCTGCTGGGAGGGTTCCTGTCAGGCAGTGGTATCTTGGGATAGCTGTGGGTCTGGGAGAGGGCCCTGTGCAGAACACGAGACTCGGCCTGGGGAGGTTCAGAGGCCCTGGGGAAGGGCAGCTGGTCTGACCTGTGGCTGCCTGTTGTCCTCAGGGGAGAAGCCTCACCAGTGTGCCGTGTGCTGGCGATCCTTCTCGCTGCGTGACTACCTGCTCAAGCACATGGTCACGCATACCGGTGTGCGTGCCTTCCAGTGTGCTGTCTGCGCCAAGCGTTTCACGCAGAAGAGCTCGCTCAATGTGCACATGCGCACACACCGGCCAGAGCGTGCGTCCTGCCCAGCCTGCGGCAAAGTCTTTTCACATCGTGCGCTGATGGAGCGCCACCTGGCCACGCACCCTACACCCTGACTGTGGCCCCACCCCATCTTGTGCTCCCACCCCTCCCCACCCCAGATCCTCTTCTCTGTGCACATGGATACTCTGGGACCTGCAGGCTTCCAAACTGACCTGGAGGCCCAGCTTGGAGTACAAGGGCCTGGGATCCATGTCCCCTTCCAGGCTGCCCTGGGGTTTGGGGCAGGACGAGGCCTCTGGTTCTGCATCCAGGGCTTCCCTCCCTCATCGGGCACCTGAGACCCCTCCAGTGGACCCATCACAGATGGATTCAGGTGTACTCACACTCCAATAAAGGATGTTGGACCAGTGCCCCCTTCTGCACTCACTGGGCTGGGGGCATCAGGGCACTGAGGCAGGTGTGACTGACATTCATTCCCTTGAAGTTGTTGGTCGTGGGGGGAGGGGATCTCACAGTTCCTCCACACACACCACACTGCTAGCTGCTGCAGCCCTGGTAACCAGCCAGACTTGAGCCTTTTCAACTTTAGATTCCTGCTCCCCTCTTGTGATGGTGGAACACCTTATTTTTGGGGGGTACTGGGGATCGAACTTGGGTCCTTGTGCTTGTGAGGCAGGCAGTGTAATGGAACACCTTATTTTTGAGGGACCTGGGGAGAGGTTGGTTGGGGCCAAGCTGCTGTGAGTGTGAAGGAGCCCAGCCTAGTGTGCTCTGGCTTCTGGGTTCTGAGTATGACTGCGGGAGCAGCTTTAGGTGGCCACAGGGGGTGTGGGATGCAGCAATGTCTCGGACCCTAGGGCAAGGGCATGAAGATGTGGGCCCCAGAGGCCCAGGACCCACCAGACCAGTTGACACCTTGCCAAAACCAGGAAGGTTCACTTGAGATTCGGGCAGCCCAGAGGAAGGATGTGGAGCCATGGAATGTTTGACATGTGTACCTCAGCAGCATGGGGAGCAACGCCGAGAAATTTTTAATCTCATAAGATATCACACAAAGCCCCAAGTTCCCAAAAAGTTATGTAACGCAGACTGCTTGTTTACATATTTGCTGTGAATGTGTGATCTGTGTAACATGCTGACTTACTAGCAAAGAGAAGGCCTAAGCAAACTAGGGAGTATGCCGATCCCTGCATCTTCACGTGGTTCCCTTGGTGAGAGGTGTGGAGCACTGTACCCATAATCCACAACAGTGATAGAAGGTGCAGCAACAAGTCATTGATAAGCAGACCCCACCCCTTGTATGGGCTTGTCTTCGGTTCTGTCCCTTCCAAGGGTTGCAGATCTTTGGCATCAAGTAAAATGTACTTAGTTTTACTATAAGAGAGTCACTAATCTCAGGACCTCTTATAGGAGGCTGGTAGGCAAAGTGCTGCTAGTAGTATATCCCAACTTTGCCAATGTGGGAATCTGGGTAGTACGGTTCTGGGGCCTAGCAGACCCAATCTTGGACCCATCTTGTTATCAACTAGGAGGTCTTGATGACAATGGGAACTGTTTTAGTAATGCTCCCAGTGGCTGTCAGAGCAGCATATGCTAGCTGTTTCTCAGTGAATCAGCTCTTGGCCCTTTTCACGGTTGCAACCAGAACCCTTGTCAGTTGTCACAACCATTCTGACTTCTGCTGTAGCACTCACCCAAAACCGTCCATGGTCACATGGCCATCTAGCTCACAAGACCCAGGATGGGTCAAAGAAGTGTAAGGCTTGAGCCATCTTTATTTCGCCAGCCACAAGGGCTGCTTCCGTCACTGGGGGCCAGTCCCAGGCCCTGCCTTTTTTTATTAGCCCATACAGGAGGTGTAGTACTAGGGCTAGATGTGGCACCTAAGCTCTCCAATAGCCCAGTTGCCTTAAGGTTTGCAACTGCTTTACTGTGGTAGGGATAAGACAGGCCTCGATCTTTTTTTCCTTTTTTTGAGGGGGATAGTGTCTCACTAGGTAGTTCAGGTTATCCTCATGCCTCAGCCTCCCCCCAAGTGCTGTTATTATAGATGCATGATACCACATCCAGTAGGCTTGGCTCTTTTCTGTGACTGCACCCATGACTTTTGTCTTACTGGACCGGACAACTCCCAAGATTTTGACAATCCAGGCCCTTGCAGCTTGCCCTTGTTGACAGCCCAACCACATGTTTTGGGATTTGTTTGGAGCACTGATACAGCTGCCTCAAGGTCTACAAGACAGTCACAAACAGGATATCATCAATATAATGGTACATTTGCACAGGTGGTGGCTTTGGCCACTGACCCAAATCTGATGCTACCAAATGTGATACAAGGTGGGGCTATAACAGATATCCCTGTGAGAACATTGGGAAAGTCCAGTGACAGTCACCCCACATAAAAGCAAACTGGTCCTGACTCTCAAGGGCTATGTCAACAGAAAAGCAACTATTAGCCCAATCTGCTAATGAGTAGCAACCTCCGACTAAGGCAGTCTGTAAGGTCTACCACAGAGGGCACAGCAGCATGCAGTGGGAGAATGAAGTTATTTACCTCCTAGGAGGCCTCCAGGAGCCATCAGGGTTTTGGGTGGGGGGTTGTTCAGGAATTGAACTCTGGTCCCTGCGCTTACAAAGCAGGAGCTGGAACCACTGAGCTAAATCCCCGGTACCATCAGGTTTTTTAACCAGCTACACGGGGGAATTATAGGGACTATGCACTGGCCAGATAATTCGACCTTCTCCAGTTCCTGGATCATCCCACTGATATGCCTGCTAGGCAGCTGGTACTGCCTCACAGCTGTGACCCTTCAGGGCACCAGCAATGCTTTTAATGGTCTTTTACCACCACCTCCACGTATACACTTGAGTTCCCCCATAGCAGGTTGGAGCCATAGTCCATACAGTATATCAACTCCCCAAATGTACTTCAGTATTGGAGACTAAGACCCCTTATATTTCCTAGGGTATAGGTAGCCTATTTTCAAATATATAAAGATTGCTACTACCATGGTGCTATGACCCACATAGCCATCTATATACAATGCAGGGCCCCAGAACTCCAGTTTCCCAGGCAACAGGATGCATTCAGCCCTAGTGTCTACTAGAGCCAGAGCCCATCGGGCATTGGTTGGGGACCAGTGGATTACTAGTTCCATGTAAGGCCTTTGGTCCCATTAGTCCCCATCAGATGAGCACCTTTACCTTGGCCCTATTCTTTTGCGTGTGTGTGTGGTACCAGGGATTGGACTCAGGCCCCAGGGATTGTACTTGCAAGGCAGGCAATGGAACCACTGAGCCAAATCACCAGCCCTACCTTGGCCCTATTCAGAGATGAGCAGAGCATTGGGAGAGCCAGTTAAATGATCTTCCAACTTAATGGCCTTAGCCGTGGCTTCAGCGTGAATTTTTGATCTTCCTAAACTGTCTCCATAACTCCAACAGGTAGGTATTTGGCTTTTTGTAGATCTTGGCCTGATTGATTCCTGCCCCAACAAGCCTACCTTCAGCTGCGTATGAGTTACCATCGTAGGCTTTCCTGATCACCTATTCTCCCACTTTGTCTGGGGTTTCCATGACATAATAAGGACATTATGGCCCCTCCTCCTAGTCTTTGCGTTCCCTACATAGGCCGCCATTGTAGTCACTTCATTAATCCAGTATTCTGCTGCAACCTGCACATTATAGGGTCTGAAACCAGGGAGAGTGGTGGGAGATGAAGAAAATTGAAGAATAACAAGAAAGAAAGATACATACCAAGGTTAAGCTTTATATCTGGGACACTAGTATTGTCTGGACAGTCACTGTGGACGTGGTATCACCAGTTCAGAGGTGTCACCAGCAGCCCTCCAGCAAGGTAACTGAGCAGTTTGCTTGCTACTTGTCTGAGTTACTTTTCTCATGGCTTAAACAAAATACCTGATGCCCAAAGTAAAGGAGGAGAGGTTTATTTGGCTCACAGTTTGTAGAGGCTTCAGTCCACAGTTGGTTGGCTCCAAGGCAGGGTGGTTGGCAGGGGCATCACAGAGGAGAAACAGTTCATGGCAGGCAGAAGGTAGCAAAGCAAGCAACAGAGAGAACAAGTCTCTTTCTGTCCCTTATATTGTATCCAGGCTACTGGGAATATGGTGGTGCCAAACCAGTCAGTGGACTCATTTTGTAATCACCCATCCTTAATTCTAGCATTTCGCCATGAATCAATCACACACTCTAGATCCAGCCATCTCTGAAAAAGCTCCACCATTGACTGCATGAAGTTTTGGGGGACATCTAGAAACAAGCCATAACATTCCATCCCTGGTCCCCCAAAGACTCACACACATTCCTTTGTGCAAGAGGTATTTAGTCCATCTCCAGTAGTAGCCAAAGTCCTAAGTTTCAGCACTGCAAGCAGTCCAAAGTCTCCTATGACATTTAAGGCGAACTCTTAGCTGTGAACCCCTGCTGTACCAATGGAACGAAAGTTAAACACTTCCAACTTTCCATGGCATAAGATAGACATTTCCATTCCAAAAGATACAAAGAGGGGAATAGAAAGAATTGGGATCAAAACAAGTCCAAAAATCCAGCAGGGTAAACATAAAGTTCTCTAGTTCCAAGTCCAGCATCTGAAGCAATCTGTGACAAGACATGAACTCCAAAGAGCTTGGGTGGCGTTGCCCCTATGGTACTTCTGGTGGCTGTAGCACCCATGGCTTCTCTCTTGGGACAGCTCTGCTCCCTCCTCGCAGTTTTCCTCGAATGATCCACATTCCTGGCTTCTTCAAATTTCTGGGGTTTCTGCTACACCTACTGCTGGAATGTGTGCTGATTATTGCTGCTGTAACATGCCCCAGGGCAGGAGTTTCTGCCAATCCTCAAGTGCCTGGCACACAGCTATCATGGGAGGAATGCAGGTACCAGTCCTGGAGGAGGCCTGGGCAAGCAGGGCCACAGGGCTGGTTATGGCTCAAGAGGAGGGCAGAGACCCAGGGCCCAGAGGTCAGCAACAGAGGAGAGAGGCAGAGCTGCTGAGTGGGCACGAGGGCTCAAGCTGCACAGGAAGCGAGGGCTGAGGGCAGAGTCCAGGGGTCAGGCTGCTGATATCAGTGCCAGGGCCTTTGGTGGGTAGAGGGCACCAGTTACTCTGTGGGACAGGGATCCCAGGGTCAGAAGTGAGTCTGAGCATTTCACAGCCTCTTCTCTGAGGAGATGGACAGTGCCATGGGTGTCTGGCAGCGGTTGGCTGTGTTGCTGTTGCTGCTGCTCCTGGTGGGGGCCCTGGGGCAGCCCGTGTGGCCAGCTGCTGTGGCAGTGGCCCTGCGCTGGCTCCTTGGAGACCCCCTGTGCTTCCTGTTGCTGGGACTGGCAGCACTGGCCCGGCCCTGGGTCGGCCCCTGGGGTCCTCACTCTTTGGGCCTGGTGACTGCGGCCCTCACTCTGACCCTGCTTCCCACACAGCCACCCCCAGGGTTGCGCTGGCTGCCTGCAGATATGACTTTCTTAGCCAAGCTGCTCCGCCTGGGCCTGAGCATCAGGGCACGCCTGAGACACCAGCCTCCAGACACCTTTGTGGATGCCTTTGAGCGGAGGGCTCGAGCACAGCCTGGCCAGGTGTGCTTGGTATGGACTGGGCCTGGAGCCTGTGCAGTTACTGTTGGTGAGCTGGATGCCCGGGCCTGCCAGGCAGCATGGGCCCTGCAGGCTGAACTGGGTAGCTCAAAGGCCTTGCGTGCTGGGGAGCCAGTGGCTCTCCTGGTGGGAACCTCGAAGGCTGTTTCTGCTCTGAGTCTGTGGCTAGGAATGGCCAAGCTGGGCTGCCCAGTGGCCTGGATCAACCCACACAGCCGTGGGGCACCCCTGGCACACTCTGTGCTGAACTCCGGGGCCCGGGTGCTGGTGGTGGACCCAGGTGAGGACCCAGGGCCACAGGGGGAGGGAAAAGGGTAGGGGTTGTGCTGCTGGGGCTGGGCAGGGAGGCCTTGCCCACTACCCACCCATGTCACAGGCAGTTACAATCAAAACAGTGTAACTGGGAAAGCACTGGGGAGGAGGGGTCGCTATTTTTAATTTTTCCCAAAATAGCGATTTTAATTCTTTTCAACAAAAACTTTAGTAATCGTGGGATTCTTTTTTCTTTTTCTTTTTCCAGTACCAGGGGTCAAACTCTGTACATTGCACTTGTAAGGCAGGCATGGTGCCACTGAGCTAAATTCCCAGCCCTGATTATGGGATTCTTTAACCAAGAATGATGAAACGTTTTTTCTGCTAGCTTTTCCTGTATCTCTGGGTGTGGGATCTCCCCTGTTGACTACACCCGTAAGCTCTGCCTCAGTCTCTCCCCTGACCTTCTAGACCTTCGGGACAACCTGGAGGAGGTCCTTCCCAAGCTGCAGGCCGTCGACATCCACTGCTTCTACCTCAGCCACACCTCTGCCACACCTGGTGTGGGGTCTCTGGGGGCTGCCCTGGACACGGCACCCTCTGACCCAGTGCCTGCTCACCTACGTTCAGAGACCAGGCGTCGAAGTCCCGCCCTGTTCATCTACACCTCTGGTACCACAGGTGAAGGTCCCCCAGCCCCAGCCTAGCCTCTGCTGGCCCCTGACACAGCCCTGCCCTCCACCCTCGACATCTGGCCTTGACTCCGATCCCCAGTGTCATGTAAGGGCTCAGTGCATCCTGCCTCTGCCCAGTAAACAGCACTGACACCCTTGCTAACCTTTGCTCTTGATCTCTCACCGCCAGTTTGAATTCAGCCTCAAACCCCACTGCCCGGAGAGGCAAGCCCAGCAAGGTCTGGCTGCTTCCCCTTGACACCCCTTCCCCGCTGCTTCCTCCCAGGACTACCAAAGCCAGCTATCCTCACACATGAGCGGGTGCTGCAGGTGAGCAAGACGCTGTCCTTGTGTGGGGCAACGGCTGATGATGTGGTCTACAGTGTCCTGCCTCTCTACCACGTGATGGGGCTTGTCCTGGGGGTCCTCGGCTGCCTCGAGCTTGGTGAGCCCCTTTCCAGAGGATCCCTTTAGCCCCAGGATCCTAGAAGGGGTGTTGGGGGCAGTCAGGGTGACAAGACTGTAGGTACCCAGGTTTCGGTACTGTCACTTTTGACAAGGGGCACACACATCCTGGCCCGAGGCTTGAACACCTAAACCAATCTCTAATGGCCATGCTTTGGTCGGGAGGGGATGAGAACGGAGTGACATAACGGCGAGCGTCGGGTAAGCGGTCGTGCTGCAGAGGGGACATGGATGACGGGCCTGGTTTGCGACCTGGCCAGGGAAGCTAGTGAGGGCATGGTCACGAAGTACCGGCTGGGCTGCCCTGCTGACCACCTACCTCACAGTTCAGACGAGGGCTGCCCCTTATGGTGGGTACTTTTTGGTTTTTTTGGTACTGGGGATCAAACTTGGGTCATTGCCTTTGCAAGGCAGGCAGTGGAACCACTAAGCTAAATCTCCTGCCCTATTTTTTTTCTTTCTTTCTAAAACATTGTGCCTGTCTCTCTGTGTGTATTTTCAGTAGTAGGATTGGAACTCAGGGACCACTACCAGAGAACCACTTCCCCACTCCTTCATATTTTCGACATTGAGACAGGGTCTCCTAAGTTACCCAGGTGACAGTCGAACTTGGGACCTTCGAGCTTCCGCTGCCATTGCACCTGTGTGTGTTACCATGCCTGGCTATTTGTTCTTTTTGTCTTGTCTCCATTTTACTGAGCATTGAACCCAGGGTCTTTGCACTGAGCCACCAGCCCTTTAACTTCTTTATTTTTTCCTTTGGGCCAGGCATGTAGCTGAGTGGCACCACAGCTGCCTGGCAAGTGCATGGTCCTGAGTTCAATCCCAGGTGTGTATATCTAGATCTAGATCTAGATCTAGATCTAGATATTTTTTTAAGGCATGGTCTCACTAACCCTGAACTCGCTACATAGCTGAGGCTGGCCTCGAACTCCTGGCGATCCTCATGCCTCTGCCACCTGAGTGCTGGGATTACAGGTGTGAGCCACCACACCCAGCTCATTTGCACAGAAGATATTGTGCTACCTCCTTGCCAGAAATAGAGTTTTAAAACACACACCTGTCAGTTTACAGAGCACATGAGCAGTTGCAGTTTGGGTGCCGAGGAGGGGTCAGGAGGGAGGGGTCACTTCTCAGGAGTGATGATTGTGGCCCTGAGGTCTTATTCCTGAGTCCAACTGTCAATGCCATATACCTTTAACCCTCCCACCAGCTCTCCTATGCAGCGCCTATCTACCTGATCACTGGCTATCTCTCCCCCACGCCCAGTGCACCTACTCTCCGTGCCACCACCAATTCATTCATCCACCAACTCGCCTTCCCACTCCCTACCACATACCCATCCTCCTACTCACCTGTCTGCCTTCCAGGGTACTCAGCAAATTCAGAGCAACAAATGCACACCCCTTATGCAACATGCTCACTTTGTGCTGGCACTGGAATTTCTATACCCTCTAGAGACAGTATTTGAACCCAGGCCTCCTCTTATTTTTTTGTTTTTGTTTTGAGTTTTCTGAGACAGGGTCTCACTGGGCAGTTCAGACTAGCCCAGAACTCACTGTGCAGCCCAGGTTGACTCATGGCAGTCCTCTCGCCTCGGTCTCCCGAGTGCTGGAACTGCAGGCATGTGCCACCACACCTGGTCCCGTGTACTCTTCTCATGGGGCCAGTCCTGGCTGGGACATAGAGATGAGCTTGCCTCATGATGTGTTCCCAGAGACTGCAATCAGGTGATCAAAACAGCTTCTCACAGCAGTTTGGAAGCATGGCTTGAGATCTACTTGTCCTCTCCCTCCTAGGAGCTACCTGTGTCCTGGCACCCAAGTTTTCTGCCTCCTGTTTCTGGAATGACTGTCGTCAGCATGGTGTGACAGTGATCCAGTATGTGGGTGAGGTCCTGCGGTACTTGTGCAATGCTCCCCAGGTGAGGATCCATGGTAAACACAGTAGGCCTAAAACTCCAAATGACACCCCAGGTAAAGTTCTCATATAAAGACTCAGGTACAAGCCGGTCGTGGTGGCACACACCTGTAATCCCAGCACTTGGGAGGCTGAAGCAGGAGGATCACTGTGAGTTCGAGACCAGCCTGGGCTACATAGTGAATTCCAGGTCAGTCTCACTACATAGTGAGACCCTGTCTCAAAAAAAAAAAAAAAAAAAAAAAAAAAGACTCAGGTATAGGGTTGCACTTATCAGGCAAGAGCCCCATATAACAAGTTCGAGGTGAATTCTCCTAAAGGGCTGCTTTGATAAGGAGCCTCACTGTCCTCAGCAGATGACTCTACTTTTCTCAGCCTCAGTGTGCTCATTTGTTAAGGGTAGTTCTTATCTGGCCTGGTGTGGTAGTACATGCCTGTCATTCCTGGAATTCTGAGGTAGAAAGATTGCAAGTTTTAGCCTAGCCTGGGAAGCTAGCAACTTGGTGAAATTTTGTCTCAAAATAGAGATGAGGGGCCTGGGATTTAGCTTGGCGGTTTTGGTGAAAGCCCTGAGTTTAATCCCTGGTACCAAAAAGATAGTAATAATAATAATAGTGAGAGAGATGAGCTGGGGATGTAGCTCAGTATGAAGGCCCTAGGTTTAGTCCCCAGTACAAAAAAGGCCCCCATTTTTGTGAAAATTAAGTGTAAAGTGCCTAGAACTTGGTGTGGCTCAGGGTAAACTCAGAATTTGTGAGCCATTTCATCCTTACAGACCAATGAGATACGATTCTGGATAAGGCCCCCAGGTATCCTTGCAGGTAAAGTTTAAAGGTAACCCCTCAGGAAAAGGCTCCATGTAACTTGTCCCAAGTAAGACACTGAAGTAATTCTTAAACTGAGGCTTCGAGTCACTCCCCGGTGACTTCTGGGTAAAGGCTCCCAGCAGCTTTTTTAGGTGAGGCTTCCAGGTAACTCCCCCACGTGAGACCCCAGGTACTTCTCCCATGTAAGATCCCCGATGCATCACGACTCCTAGGTAATCCTTCAGGTAAGGCCCCAGATAACTTTCCCCAGGTAAAGTTCTCAGGTAACCTCTTCGGGTAACCCTCCAGGTCAAGACTGCAGTAACTGTACCTCAATACTCCAGGTAGATCCCCTAGATATGGTTCCCCATCGTCCTGGGGTCACTCTCAAGGTAAGGACCCAAGATGGCCCCCAGGTGAGAGTTCCCCAGCAGCCCCAAGAGCACTTCCTCTTCTCCTTGGGATGTTCTTGCAGCGACCAGAAGACCGGGTGCACAGAGTCCGCTTGGCAATGGGCAATGGACTCCGGGGAGATGTGTGGGAAGCCTTCCAGAAGCGCTTTGGTCCCATTCAGATCTGGGAATTCTATGGCTCCACAGAGGGCAACGTAGGCCTAGTGAACTATGCAGGGCGCTGTGGGGCTGTGGGCAAGACGAGCTGCCTCCTGCAGGTGAGTAGGTGGGGTGCCCGGGTGACAGGTGGCCATGGCTGCGGCTGTGCCCATAGGTCCTCTGCCAGTGCTCCCTGCCCTTCCCCAGATTCTGTCTCCCCTCGAGCTTGTGCAGTTTGACATGGAGGCAGCAGAGCCTGTGAGAGACAAGCAGGGCTTGTGCATCCCTGTGGGGCCAGGTATGGGGACCGAGGGGCTTTCTCTGGGTGGAGGAGGGATGGATCCCCTCAGCCTCCTGCATGGCTGCAGAAAGCTGACTAAAGCCTGGAGCCAGAGCCCGTGGGGGTGTCTGAAGTCCTCATCAGGACTCTGAGTCCCCGCCTTGCTGACTGCCACCTGGGCCTCCATCCCTCAGACTCTTAGCCTGCCAGCGCCCTTGCTTCTGTCCCTTGCTCTGGTCTGCAGGTCTCCAATGTCCCTGGCTTTCTGTGGGGATCTCACCTTCCCAGGCAAACCCTTCTCTCCCGGGGCCTCAGAGGGCCCTGGCATCTTTCTTCCTGCCATGTCCCTCTTTCTGTGGGGATCTCACCTTCCAAGCAAAACCCCCCCCCCCCGCCGCAGAAGACCCCCCCAGCTTTTTTCTTGCCACCGTTTGTCTCTGTCCCTTTCCATTCGTTGGTATCTTTTTCCTCTTTCTCATGTGCTACCCAATGCCACTTTCATCCTTCCTTCTCTGATTTGCTGTGTCTCCCTGTCCCGTCTCTCAGGCTCTCTCTGTCCCAGTGTTCCAGAGTCTGTCTTCATGGTGCACTGGTCCACTGTCTTGGAAACCTCCGGCAGGGGCTGCAGTTCTGGCTGCTTCGGTTCTGGTCCATCATTTATACTGCACTCCTCCTCCTCCAGGGGAGGCGGGGCTCCTGTTGACCAAGGTACTGAGCCACTCTCCCTTCATGGGCTACCGTGGTCCCCGAGAACTGTCTGAGCGGAAACTCGTGCGGAGTGTGAAGCGTCCAGGCGACATTTACTACAACACTGGGGATGTCCTGACCATGGACCATGAAGGCTTTGTCTACTTCCAGGACCGCCTTGGGGACACCTTCCGGTCTGGTGGAGTTAGGGTTGGGGACAGACTGGGCTGGTGTGGGTGATGGGCACCTGGACCCTCCTGTGAGGTGGGGTTCAAGCCCTGACTCCAACCCTGCAGATGGAAAGGCGAGAACGTGTCCACTCGGGAAGTGGAGGGCGTGTTGTCACTTGTGGACTTCCTGCAGGAAGTGAATGTGTATGGCGTGCCAGTGCCAGGTACGGAGGGTCCACTGGACCCTAAACCTGGGGCCAAGCTGGGTGTAGTGGTGCACGCCTGGAGTCCCAGCACTGGGGGGCTGAGGCAGAAGGATTGCAGGTTCCAGGCCAGATTGGCAATTTGCCGACTGAGACCCTGTCTCAAAATACAAGGGCTGGGGATGTAGCTCAGTGTGAAGGCCCTGGTTAATAATCCCCAGTACCAAAAAATCCCAAGCCAAACAAACCTTGTCTTTCTTCAGGGTGGAGGACATCACTCTGATTTTACAGACGAGGAGCTGTTGGGGCACAGAGAGGGTTAGAGGTTACCCAGTTGCACAGCCAGTGAGCAAGGCAGTGCCAGGCTGGTGGGTCGGCTGAGTGACCATGTGCTTCACAGGGTGTGAGGGCAAAGTGGGCATGGCTGCTGTGAGGTTGGCCCCTGGCCAGACCTTTGATGGACAGAAATTGTACCAGCATGTGCTCACATGGCTCCCTACCTATGCGGCCCCCCATTTCATCCGTATCCAGGTGAGTCGGGGCAGGAGGAGCAGCTGGGTAGGGGCCCCTGGGACTGTCACAGCCCAAAGTCACAACCACTGCCCTGCAGGACACCCTGGAGATCACAAGCACATTCAAACTGGTCAAGTCCCAACTGGTGAAAGAAGGCTTTGATGTGGGAGTCATCACTGACCCTCTGTTCATACTGGACCGCCGGGCCCAAGCCTTCCGGCCCCTGACGGCAGACACGTACCGGGACGTGTGTGAGGGAACCTGGAAGCTCTGACTGCCTGACCCACTTCAGGACATCTGAAGGGATAGGAGCCGATGCTGACCCCCCAAGCCTGAACAGAGCTGTCGTGATTCCAGATGTACAGGCTGGGAAAGACACTGGCCCTGGTAGCCAAGCAAGAATTGGGCTAGGGATTTGGCTCAGTGGTTGTGCTGCCTGCCTTACAAGCACAAGGGCCCAAGTTCAATCCCCAGTACCAAAAACAAAATAAAGAAAGAAAGAAAGAATAAACTCAAATGTGTACACAGAGGTCTGTGTGTCGATGGAAAAATGATAGAGGAGTGTAAGTTCTCCTGCCACAGAAATCAGATATCCAGGGGAATGATCCACTCTGGGTAAGTTCAAATGTTTGGCAGGAATGAGAAAAGAGCACTACTGAGCAGAGGCAGGAGGATCACTGCAGTGAGTTCAAGGTCAGCCTGCATGACAACACAGCAAGATCCTTTCTCAAGCAACAACAGAAAAGAAGCACTACCTCCATTTCCCAGTCTTTTGTGGCCTCTGAGACTCCTGGGCTTGAGTTCGCAGATAAGAGAAGAGGCAGGAGTACTTGTCATCTGCATTCTTGCAGGGGGGCGGGTAAGAAGGAAGTATGGATGGGTGGTTTGACAAAGACTGGAAGACATTGTGCTGAAGCAGGAGGGGTGAACCGGAAGAAAGAGAGGAGAGTTCCTGGCTGAGTGAACAGTATGTGCAAAGGCCCTGGGGTGAGTTTTGCAGGGAAAAAGCAGTAGGGGAAGAAACCTCTGGGACCTGGAGTCTCCAGGGCAGGCAGCACTTCCTGGAGCACTGTGGGAGCTGTAGATGAGTTTGCAAGGGCCAAGATCTCTGGGATATGGACTCTGTACTCTCAGGAGATAGGGACACTTCACAGGAATTGGGAACACTTCACGGAGCATTCTGGGGAAGGACAGGAGAGCTCACAGACACAGAGGCTCTGGGAAATGCTGTGAATGCCCTGTCAGGTGGGCACCCGAGAGGCAGGCAGTGCTTGTGGCCCAGCTCATCACAGGTGCTCAGGGAGCTGGGGCCCTCAGTGTCTTTGGTGGTTTCAGCACAGTCCCGCACCAAGCACGTCGTCATCCTCACAGCAGCTGCCCTGGCTGCTGTCATCTGAGGTCGTCTGCCCTGCATGGCCGATGGAGCCAAGTGCGGAGCCCCAGCTCCCAGCAGAACCGCTGCTTCCTGGCCTGAAGGAGTTGAGCTATGCACCTGCAGCAGCACAGCAGGGCCAAGCCCTTCCTTTTGATCACATTAGCACCTGGCCCTGAGGAGCGCTCGCCACCTCCACCACACCCCTGCTTCCTCCCCTGTGCACAGGTCTAACTCAGAGGCTGGGCTGGGCTGGCTTCCCATCCCTCCTGCCATGAACCTGGTAGCTCATGATTACTATAAGGACAATTTTGATTTGTACATTATTGATTCATGTGCGCACAGTGCTGTGACTACCAATGCTGGGTGTGTGGCCGTGAACAGGTAGGCCAGGCCGTTCTCTCACAGTGCCATTACTTTCCTGATTGCTTCAAAGCATGTAGGTTTTCTTAGCATAACACAGTTTCTTCTGAGGTGAATTCCTGCTTCATAAACTTCCCCCACACTTATGTTTTAGTCATTATTTATATAGAGCTTTAAAATGTTTTCTACTTTTTTGTTTTTGTTTTTGTTTTTTGAGACAGGGTCTCACTATGTAGTTGAGTCTGACCTGGAACTCACTATATAGCCCAGGTTGGTCTTGAACTCTCAGCGATCCTCCTGCCTCAGCCTCCCAAGTGCTGGGATTACAGATGTGCGCCACCACGCCCGGCTAAAATGTTTTCTACTTTGTTGTGGTTTATGTTGCAGACTGGTGTGGGCAAAGTCTAGAGATTGAGCCCAGGAGCTTACACAAGCCAGGCAAATGCTCTATCACTGAGCTACATCTCCACCCCTTTATTTTTATTTTGAGCTGAAAGAGAATAAATCTGGGGCTGGGGATGTAGCTCAGTGGTGTCATGCCTGCCTGGCAAGCATAAGGTTCTGAGTTCCAGCCTTGGTACCAAAGCGGGGGGGTGGGGAGGATAATTCTGTTGTTCAACCTAGAGCAGCTACTAAGAAGTGAACACTACATGAGTAAGTCTTGAGTGACTGTCCAGAGAACCAGCAGACATTGCCAGACAGCAGGGCACTGATCCTTTGCCCTCTGTGGCATGACCACAGGGCATGTAGGGTTATACCCTGGCCTTGAGCTGTGTGTGTCCATCCATGCTTAGAAAGGATGTTCCCCTACTGCCCACACAAGCCCAGCCTCAAGAGCTAGGCCAGCAATATGGGGGCCAGAGACAGACACTGGGGCTGGTCCTTCTGGATCAGATAGCTGCCCCATGGCTCCAAGCTGCCAGGAAAGGATCACATACTGCTGATTTCCTGGCTAGGAGAAATGTGAAATCAGAATTTTGATCCAGAGACTTTCCTGTTATCAAAGTATAATTTATGTTGAAAATCTAACCTGTAATTCTAGCTATTAGGGAGGCTGAGGCAGGAGGATCCCATGACTAAGGCTAGCCTAGGCAACCTAGTTAAGACCCCGCTGGGTATACGGCTGGGGATTTAGCTCAGCGGTTCTGGAGCCTGCCTCGCAAGTGCAAGGACCACAAAAACAAAACAAAACAAAAAAACAGGGGTATAGTTCAGTGATTGCCTAGCATGCAAAAGGCCTTGGGTTCATACCCCTGAGCCTCTCCCAAACACAAATTATGCACTTGGAAAGCAGGGTGTGTAATGGGGCAATATAGGCAGGTAGTCAGTCATGAGTGGTGGGGGTTGGTCTCTAGAAGTGTTGACCTGGTACTGAAGTTCTTTCTAAAGGTGGTTGAGGATGGTTTGAATTTTTTGATAATGGGAAGTGGGCCAAGTGTGAGAGGGAATCCTAAGTGGAGGGGAACCACAAATTAACCAGGAAGGAGAGCTAAGGGCGCTCCACCCCATGAGACAGGTGCATTCATTGTCCTGGGTGTCCTTGAGTTGACCTAGTCTCATTATCATATGCTTAAGGCTTCATACATATGTACCACATCATTAATTACTGACAAACTATAGGAAAACACATGCGCGATTGAAACTTAAAAGTAAGGCATGGGTAAATCATAAATATGCAGGAGTAGGGTGTGGAATACCCTAATACAGTAAGTACGGTAATGTAAAAGAAACCAGAAGAAAGGAACAGTGGTTGCTCATAGGCTGGTGTCCTGACTCGTCTGAAAAACCTTATCCTACTTTACAATAAACCTTTTCATGCTGAAACCACTTCCTGGCTTGAGCATTGTTTCTTTCCATTTGTGAGGTGGTCCAGGCAAATTCTTCTCCTCGGGTCACCAAGCACCACAAAAGGACAGGTCAACATTCCACACACAGACTTGGGGCCCAGCTGCTGGGTGGAGGGGCACACGCCAGTCCCTGAGTGTCCACTGCCAGCAACAAGGTCCTGCAGTGGGGAGTGCGGTCCGCGTGCACCTCGACGTGAGGAGCACGGCTTGGGTGGTTACCGCAGTTGCACGGTCGCTGTTGCAGCAGACCTGGCCTCCATCCGGGGTTGGCTCTTCCTCACAGGGCCTCGGGCTGGTGGGCTTTGCGGTGGACAACCAGCTGCGACTTCCAGTCGAAGGCGCGGCCACAGTCCCCGCAGGCGTGACGCCGCTGGCCACTGTGAGCCTTGCGGTGGATGACCAGCTGCGACTTCCAGCTGAAGCTGCGGCCACAGTCCTGGCACACATGGCCCGGTGTATGGCGCGGGGTGCTGCGGGGCGCACAGGCTGTTGGCATGGGCTCCGGAGCGCGCGCGTGTGAGCGCCTGTGCATTACAAAGACGGACTTCCAGTCAAAGCCGCAGCCGCACTGTGCACAAGTGTAGGGCTTACGCGCAGTGGGCGGGTCCTGGCGGGTGGGGGGCGGACTCAGCTGCTGCTCAGGGTTTGCCTCCCGGTCAGGGATCGGCTCCGGGTCTGGCAGCCCTGCGGATGGGGGCATCAGGCAGGCGCACACCCGGACAGGGTGCAGGGCTCGGGGACCCAGGGCAAAGCGATCCTCACCCAGGGACACCGCAGAACCGTACTTCTGCAGCATCGCATCCCAGTAGAGCTCCTTCTGCGACCGATCCAGAAGCACCCATGGCTCCTGTGCGGAGGCCACTGTCACGGCTGGGAAGGGGTGTCCCTCTTCTGTCACCTTGAATAGGAGGGGCGGCAAGAGGCCTTGGGGACCCGGCTGCACTCTGCCTAGCCTCCTTACCTGTAATGGATCTGCCTTGTTTCTGGACATGCAGAACCCTTGTGGGGGTGGCGGGTGCAGGAGGACCCGTTAGGTGTAGTGGGACACCCACAGACTCGTGAGCAGGTGACTGGTATTGCAGGAAGTTCAATATCAGTGGGGCCCCAAGAGTAAGCTGCCCACCTCACTGCCCCAAGGTATGTCACCTGGGGCTCTGCTGAGTGGGGAAAAGCAATCTGAAGGACAAGCCAAAGCAGACACAGGGAGACAGCACCCACATGTGGGCACAGCTAAAGGCTGACAGACTGGGAGGAAGATGCCTTGGAGGGCGCAGCCTTCCCACTGGCTCCGGTTTCTGTCTGGGACACAGGCTGTGTAGGGCACCTGAGGGTCTTCTCTGCCTCAAGGAATCTCTCAACTAGCAGTTCTGCTGCAGAAGTCTCTGAGTGGGCAGGCTCAGAAGCAAAAGAACTGGGAGAGGACAAAACCCTCACTCCACACACTTGGGAACACAGCTGAGGGAAGCAGAGCTTTAAGCTAAGCTCTAGACCCAGATGACTGCCTTCTCAGAAAAGCCCTAGGAGACAAAGGACTTTAGGAATTTCCTGGGAAGAGTGTCTGTTTGACTTCAGGCATGGGGCAGGTACTACCACAGTTGGTCATCTGTCCCCTCCAGACCTGCATACATGAGTTCAAATGTCCAGGTGCTAGCCCAGCACCTCTAAGAGCCACACACCTCTCCAGGACTTCTCTAGAGATGAGGAAGCCACACAAACAAGATTTCCAAGGCCTAGGTTACAAGTCCTTTCCAGAGCTGGAGACAGCAGGCTGTGCCTGTGCCCCCAGACCTGTGGGAGCAACCCTGGTATTTACTTCCCTTCCGAGTAGCAAAGAGCACAAGAGTCACTGGCCAAGAGCCTGGGGACCACAGGGCAGCCACCAAAGACACCCCCCCTCAACACAAGCTCACCTGATTTCTGGACGGTTGGAAGGATGTAGAGGCAGGTTCTTGGTGTTCCACATGACTCTCAGATGGTGGGACAGGAAGTAAGGGGCTGAGAGGTGCTGAGAAGTGAAACAGATGGGAAGAGGTGTCAGGAGCCACCCTCATAAACCAAGTGGAGGAGAGGCTGGTGTCACTGCGATGGCCTTGGCCCACGCTGCTGTGACAGGTTGGGTAGCCCTTTGTTCCTGCTTTCCTGGAATCATCTCTGCAGCCCCTCCACGGCCCCCAACCCAGCTAGGGACACCCATATTGAGTTCAGGAGCCTCTGCCCTGATGTGGCTTCTCCTGGACTCTCTGCCAGGGGCCTATAGCCCTGGTGTGGCACCTGCCTCACCTATCTCCTGCCCGTCCACACTGGGCTCCTCCTTCACATTGCAACTGAGCTGGGCAGACCCTTCTATCCTGGCATCCTGTTGGCCCTCCCCTGAGTCTGCTCCACAGGGATCCACTGTTGCTGAAGGCTGAGGGCTTCCTGAGGATTCATCTTTCTTCTGAACTGCAGGTAGTACCTCTGGTTTCAGGATGTGGGCTGTGATCTAAGGAGAAGAGGCATGTCACAGGGCTCTCCTTTCAGTCTGTCCCCCTGGGAAGCTAATGCCACCACACTTACCCAGCCTAGCAACTGTCCAGGGTCCTGCTGCAGCCCCTCTACCAGGGCAGCAGCCTCCTCAGGGCAGCCTGGCTTCTGCCTTCGCACCCAGGCCTGGATCTCAGGGGGCAGTGTGCCCAGGAACTGCTCCAGCACCAGTAGCTCCAAGATCTCCTCCTTGGAGCAGGACTCAGGCCGCAGCCATTGCCGGCACAGCTCTCGAAGTTGGGCCAGTGCTTCTCGTGGTCCTGCCACTTCCTTGTAGCAGAATCCCCGGAAACGCAGCCGTGCACCTTCAGGTCCCTCGAAGTTGGTCTCAGAGTCTCCAACGGGCAGGTATGAGGGACCTAGAGGGGATGGCATTCTTTTTCTGGAGTGTCTTCTTGGAACTGCCAAGAGAAACCTACAGAAAAGAACGAATGAGAGTGTCATCCAAGGGGACCTGGCCAGGTGAAGGCAGACACCAAACCTAGGGGCCAAGGCCAGGACAGAGAAGACCCTGAGGATTGGGACAGAAGTGGGGAAAGCTCCATGGCAGATGACAGGAACTGACTGTGGATGAGACTGAGACTAAGAGGAATAGGACCAAGACCAAAAGAAAGCCTTGAGGAAAAATGCCTGGACAGAAGGTATCCAAGAACTTTCCAGGAAATGGCAGTTGCGTCAGATACAGAGAACTACTGGGAGATGATAGAAAAGTGGCTCCTCTGGCTGGGGTAAGGGTCATTCGGGAAGGTGGAGCAGTGGTCCAGGGCGGCAAGCAGAGGCAGAGCGAGTCCATCCCCACAGTGTCCGGGACATCTGTCTCTGGGACGGGGCGAGGTAGGGGCTGAAGGAAGAGGTGCATTCGCGGGAGCTGATGCGATTGAGGTCCCATGCTCCAGGCTACAGCGAATGGAATGCTCCCTACCGCCCGGGCCCGTGCATGGAAAGCCAAACAAAACACTCGCTGCGCGGACTGATTGACTAGAAACTGTCTGATTCTCGAGGACGTTCTGGAGGGGACCTGTCTCCCGAACTGGAAAGAGAAGGCGCAGATCTGTAGGAGGCCGGCCATGGCCGGGAAACAGGGATTGGACTTCTGAGTGGGAAGAAAGGCCCGTATAAAGGCGCAGGCCAGAGGACACGTCGCGCGCTGGGGCTGCTCTCCCAAGAGGGGGCCACGGAGGGTCGGGTCCCCTGGCGAACGCACGTTCTGGAGGGGACCTGTCTCCCGAACTGGAAAGAGAAGGCGCAGATCTGTAGGAGGCCGGCCATGGCCGGGAAACAGGGATTGGACTTCTGAGTGGGAAGAAAGGCCCGTATAAAGGCGCAGGCCAGAGGACACGTCGCGCGCTGGGGCTGCTCTCCCAAGAGGGGGCCACGGAGGGTCGGGTCCCCTGGCGAACGCGCCCCGCCCAGCCAGGAACGCGC